CCCGCAGAGCAGGGAGCCCGATGCGGGGCTCGATCCCAGGACCCTGGGATCATGACCTGAGCCGAAGGCAGACGCTTTATGACTGAGCCACCCAGGCGCCCCTGTAAATATTCTTTTACTACAACACACACTGCTTAGTGGGTTAGCTCTGCCTCCTTTAGATTATTCTATTACACAGAATGCCGAAGTGAAGGCACCAAGGATAAGTCAGAGCTTAGTGGCAAAATTCAGAGCAAGAAGCAAATGAGAAAAAAAATACACTCTGAATGTAGGCCATTTTCCCTAATCAAAATTCAGGAGATTTTCTCTGAATGTTCTCTAATTGCTTGCTTCATTTGTGTCAGCCAAAGTTTTGTGGGGTTTTCTAAGGGAAGCAAGGGAAGATGAATTTCTGTAAGGCATCGCTCAGTTGCATATATTATCCATTTTGTAGGGTGTTCATGGTAAGTGCATCATCCGGGACCAGTGCCTGCCTGCCCAGTCCCTTGCTCGGATCATGTGTCCTCCGGTTTTCCGCTGACCCAGCTAGGAACAACTGTCAGATCACATCCTGCTGTCTCCTTCTAGTTTGGGATTGGGGGCTCATGCAGTGGTTCTGGAGTCTCTCTGCCACTGTTCCCTTCCACTAGGGTGATAACCAAAAGATTACTTCTTAATGAAAGGCAATACCTGCAGAGAATCATGGCCACTGATTAAATGCATCTTTTTCACACAAAAGGGATCCCACCCAAGAAAGCAGTGTGTCCCCCTCTTTCTCAGAATAGCCTCAGGACCTGGGGCTCTAAAGTAATGCTGGATACCCAGTCGTTACTTTCAAACCCCCAAATAAATTCCTTCTTATTAAAACTAAAATGAATTAAATATTCCAAACTCACAGTTTTCAGAGAAACTGGAAACAAATAATGACAACAAAAACCCACTTCAATTTTCAGTTTTCAGACTCTGGGATGCATAGGGAATGAGTCAAACTGCTGGCCAGACACACACATACACATACACCCACACACACTCACACACAGGAGAGTCGAAAATCCATGCAAGTCAGAGTTGGATTTTTTAGCCAAAGTGACAAGTACTAGTATTTTTGTACATCATGTCAAATAAATACCAATCCTTAAGAAACGCTGGTATTTTTTTGAGATCTAGCTAATCCTGGCCACTTGTGGGTGAGTGCTGAAAATCTGAAATGTTAAAGAGAAAAAAGAAAGTGTTTTCTCATAATGTACCCCAAATCTGGATGCATACCAAAAGCACTGCATATAACTATTCAGACATCATCGGATGCACAGGGGTGTTCTAAACCACCCAACCAAAACCCAGCTTTCTGATTGGATTCTCTGCTGTAAACCTGACGCGGGGTCCTACCCACAAAGTACAGATGGTGAAACATGCTTGGATCTTCATGTTAAAGCTAGGGTATCCTGGTAACTTCACAGTCTCTAAAGAGTCAAAAAAGCAGTGTCCTAAAAGCCAGGTTTTCCCCACAATGCCCTCCAAGCAGCACAGTATCTACCTTTAGGGAACTGCAGGGCGAGGTGTGGACAGCTGCCTGCTGAATGTGAACAATATGGACACACCAAACTCACACTTCTCATAATTCAACTCTGGTTGAGAGGACATGAGATGTGTGACTGGCCTCACTACCAAGACCCAGGAGGTGGGGAAGCATTGTAGTTAGAAGCACATGCTTTGGGAGACCTCAGACATGCCTGGGTTTGCACCCCACTTTCCAGCCAGATGCCGCTAAAAAGGATAAAGCTCTGAGTGTCCATGTCTCCATCTGTAAACGGAGGTAATAAGTGAGCCCAACGGATGGTCATGAGGCTTAAGAAGCTGCCCCGTGACCAGTGAGGCTGTCTCCATCCGTGGACACCATTCTCCCCTCCCCCAACCCCGCACGTGGGGCAGGATGGTCTGCGACCCTCAAGAGACTATTTTAGGAAGAGTGTGGTTGATAATGTACAAGGACAAACATTTGTCCTGTTGTTCAATTTTAAATGTTTAATAAATTATAAGATAAAAGGGATACCACATCCAGGAGTCCTGATAAATGGACCGAAGGGAAAAGAAAGAGGATGATTTTTGGAAGTCTTCTTAGAAATCGGAACATGCCATTATTTCAGAAGACAGGCATCACCGCCAGCCCAGCCCCACGTCACCACCAAAGTCTGGGCAATGGGAACTTTCATGTGAAAAGTGTCAGCAGAAGCAAACTGCCTGAAGGAACTGTCTTTCCTTATAGGGTTGAAGAAAGTTTTAAAACCTTGTTTTGGTCCATCTTTGGCTTGTCTGAAGTGATCTCGGTGGTGCTGAAATACGATCACAAGTTCATCGAGAACATCGGCTACGTGCTCTACGGTGTTTATAACGTCACCATGGTGGTAGTGCTTCTCAATATGCTGATAGCCATGATCAACAACTCCTATCAGGAAATTGAGGTAAGACCAGTTAACTGAAATTGTTCTCTCTCCCTTGGTTTAATTTACATGGCTGCTCGAAGCAATGAGGGTAATGACATTAGCAGCTCATGTGTCATTACCTGTGAAGCCAGGGGGTGCCTGGGTGGCTCAGTGGGTTAAGCATCTGACTCTTAGCTCAGGTCATGATCTCGGGGTGGTGAGATGGAGCCCTTCGTCGGGCTCTGCACTGGGCATGGAGCCTGCTTGGGATTCTCTCTCTCCCTCTCCCTCTGCCCCTCCTCTCTCTCTCTTTCAAAAAAAAAAAAGTGAAGTCAGAACAGCGAACAACCGGCATGCTTACCACACTGCCCCCAGGAGCCGTTTCGGCCAACCGGACGCATGGCAGAGTGGGCACCACGTGCAAAGCGGCCCAAGCAGGGCCGAGAGAATCAGGATGGTGAATCTTTCCTCTTTCACGTGTCCCCTCGAGACAGCATGCAGGTGGCCCATGGCCGATCGGAATGACTGCATCTTTCAGCCAACATTCCCTTTGCTTCTCACGTGTTATTAAATACCTACTGTATGGAATCCCCATGCCTGGCACTGGTGACACAGAGTGGCTGAGACAGTCCCTGCCCTGTACGCACTCAGTTCCCTGAGTAAAACAGGTACATCAATGAACTCACTCCCCTGCCCTGAGCCCCGCACACCCAGAGAAGTCCTACCAGGTACAAAGCAGAGAAGCTTCTAGAGGTGAGGCCTGAAGGCCATTCGAAGAGTAATACAATTTTGCCAAATAGCTGAGGGAGTCCGGAGAATGTCCCAGGAGGCAGTTTTATCAAAATCTGAAAAGCACAAGCCATAAGCTATTGATCGCAGCCTTGCTTGGAAGAGCAAGAAATGAAGAACAAACTAAATGAGCATTGATAGGAATCTAGTGAAATAGATTATGATGCGTTTAGTTAAAGAGACCAAGATGCATCTGAACAGCAGAATATTGCTCGACTTTAGAAGGGAGAACAAAGACGTTCTCCATACCCTGGGTGACAGACCTGCAAGTTATAGTGCTAAGTGAAGAAAATCAAGTTGAAGAACGGTGTTTATAGTGTGCTCTCCCTTGTGTAACAAAGGAAGAAAAGGGCATACGCACTCACTTTTAATTGGATAAGCCTTTGAAAAGGAAGAAATCTCTGAAAGGGTCCACAAGGAACACACAGCAGGGCTACTTGTGGAGAGGCAGTGGGGGGCGTGGGGGCGGAATGCCTTTCTCTTTATGCCTTCTCATGCTTTATAAATCTTATTATTGTTTTACTTATTATAAGGTAAAATAAATAAGTCAAGGATTAATAAAATGCACTAACGTATTTTGAATTGACTCAATAATGGCAATTCTAGGAATAGACCCAGGCAGAAGTATGATTTTACATAGGTGTTCCCTAAAGGAAAAACATGCAAATAGCCCATCAACATCAGAGGGTTTCAATAAACTCTGACGGAGACTTTAGAACACTGCATACACAAACAGAAAAATGCTTGTGCTGATATCGCAAAATTTCTATGATACCGTTAAGTGGGAAAAAATGCAAGTTGTGGAAAAACACAGATAGGAAAATCTTTACATAACAACACGAATGTGCATATACAGAAAGAAAAAGCAGAGAAAGGTAGAGAAAAGGTACCGCACCGTTGACCGTTGACTGGTTGACCCAGGGCATCCTCTGGGGAAGGGAGTCAAAGGAGAGAGCTTTGGAAGGGGACTGTCACACCTTTGTATACTCGGATCTTTTATAAGAAACGAGCACTCGTGTATTTCTCACGGGGAAGAAATTAAAGACCTCCAGGTATTAGTTTGCTGCGCTGTGGTAACAAAACACCACGACTGGCTGGCTGAAACACAGAAAGGATTTCCCCGCAGTTCTGGAGGCTGGACGTCCCAGACCAGGGTTCTGGCAGAGCTCGCTTCTCCGGACACATCTCTCCTCGGCTGGCGGACCACTGCCTTCTCGTGGTGTCCTCGCACAACCTTTGCTCCCTGCAAGCCGGTCCCTGCTGTGTGTCCTCTTCTGCTCTGTATGAGTTCACCCTTGATGTCAGCTCAGGGCCCACCCTAGCAACGTCATTTGACTGTACTTACCTCTTTGAAGGCCCTATTTCCAAATACAGTCACATTCTAAGGCACTGGGGGTTAGGGCTTCAACTTATGAATTTTAGGGGACACATTTGGTATAACACGCACCTTCCCCAAAATAGAGTATTCGAAACAGTAGGAACAACATGTGCCAAGGCAGGAGGGGTGAAATAATGCGGTATTCTTGGCCTGCAAGAGGGTAGACTGCACCAGGGAAAGAAGTAGGGGTGAGCCAGCATGCACCTTAGCCTGCCCCCGCTCTCCCCCTGCCCCCACAGGAAAATGCAGCACTCTGTCCATGGATGAGCGTATGTTTTAATGGTGTACATATTTGCTCAGTTATGTGGATGAGCTTTTGCTAACCAGCCCTCCCTGCCCTTCTGGGCCTCAGTTTCCCCAAATGTAAGAGAAACCAGATGGTGCCTGGATAACATGCAGGTCTCTGTACCACTCACCGAGGGTGCTGGGCCCCATCCTAGCAAGTGCTTCGTGCTTTGGTCCAAATGAATGTGGCACGGAAACCATGGGATTAGTGTGGAGAGATGCCCAATAGTTTGGGGCAGGACTGGGCACAGCCAGGACGTCACGTGGGCCTGTGATGTTGAGTTACCCCAGCACAGCATTGTGCCCGAGGTGGAGAGAGCCCACTGCAGCCCACACCTCCCCTCAGGGCTCTGAGCTTCTCCTCAGGGGAGAGCACGTGTCCCCTCCCACCTCCCCGGTGATGCATGAGCAAGGGCCCTGAGAAGCCGAACGAGGCCGCTAGACAGTGCCTGGTACCCCCGGTCACACTGAACTTCGATGAAGTACACATCTGTGAAATCTTCCACGAGAACACTTGTTTATTCAGCCAACAGATCTTGAGCACCTACCCTCCAAATCCTCTACACCTGCCATGCCCCCGCCTGCCCTCCTGTGGGGGCGGGGGTGGGGGGAGCTTCTCCATCTGAGATGCTCTGCCCATGTGCCCTGGCTCCCTGCCCTCTCGCCTCCTCAGGAGCTGCCACCGCACGTCATCCCTGCTCCACCCCTATCTTCACCCTTCCTGTCAGCATATAAATGAGACTCTGGGTCTTTAAAAAAAAAAAAAGCAACTAAAAAAATCCTCCCTCGATCCCACTTTCCAACTCTTTCTTTCCTGCTCTTTCCTGCCAACTTTCTCAGAAAAGCTGTTTATACTTCTCACTGCCTCCTCTACTCATTAACTCCCACTCCTCTCCACTCTCACCCCACCCACACTTGACCTGGTAGAGAACTAGTCACCCTGTGGAGCTTAGCTCCCACACCAACCATCAGGCAGCCTCCTCAGCCCCGCGGGCCAGGTCAGGAGCTCTACACCCAGGGGACCTGTAGCCCTTAGCACAACTCCAGGTGAAAGCCTGGGTGATGAGCAGTTCACCATATTCATGTCATGGGCCAGACTGTGTGCTCCACAAGGGCACGGACGGTCAACCCCAGTGCCTACCTAGCCCAGGCCAGCCACATAGTAGGTACTCGATACATGTTTGCTGAATGACTGCAGGTTGAACTCTAGGCATTGTGTTAAGTTATGGAGATGAAAATAATACTTACTGAGGGCCTACTAATGTCTGACGTTAAATGAACTCATTTCATTCTCATAATATGACCTATGAGGTAGGCCTTCTTGTCGCCATTTTACAGATGAAGAAACTGAGGCCCAGAGCAGCTAAGCCACCTGCCGTGGCTACACGGCTAGGGAGGAAGAGAGGCAGGCTCCAGAGCCCATCCTGTCACGATTACACCACCCTTCCTCTCAGGTCACAGTGTCCCTGTCACACGTCCCTGTTGAGCAGCAGAGGATGGGTGCAAGTCCTGCCCTCACAAGGCTTCCAGGCTAAATGACTCCAATATGATAGCCCACAGACCAGGCCAGGTGCTGATGGGGCCTCAGCAAAAGCAAACAAAATGGCCAAGCCTGCGGGCAATAGCCTTGTATCACACAGTACCTCCCAGCAGCCTCAGCTCGGCCCCTGCTAGATTCACGGTCCCTGGGAATGTAGCTAGCGTCTGTGAGGACTGGAACCCACCCCCTGATGGAGCACATACCTCAGTGCCAATCTCAGGGCTACATGAAGGAGGCAGCATCTTCTCCATTTCCCGATTGGCAGGCCCCAAGCCCTTGCTGAAGTCATGCAGCTAGGAAGGGGTTGCGAGCCCGGGTCTGTCTGACTCCAACTGCCATGCCTCTTTGCTGCTCTCAAACCGCCCCACTAGGACAGAAGCCTAAAGAGGCTGCCAATTAAAAAAAAAAAAAAAACACACCTGCTACCTGTTAGGGGGCCTACTCAGCAGTCTGGCACTGATACCACGTCAGACGTAAGAGATGTGGGGTTTAAATCTAGCACCACTACGAGGGAAGAGAGCATGGCTGGACTAGCTCATGCTAACTACAGTCAGGTCTGTTTCTCTTAAATGACACGTGCACGGTCTCTTTACATCCTCTGTGGCAACACTCTGACCAATCAGAAATATGCTTTCTAATTAGAAATACGCAGTGATACAATACAATCTGGGAGCTGCTCACCACATGCATCTGTTAAGTACGTGAAATGTGACAGGTCCAAATTGAAATGTGCTGTAAGTATAAAAAATACACACCGATTTCAAAGACTCAATAGGAAAAAAAATGTGACTTATCTCGTTAAGAATTTTTATAATGACACGCTGAAATGATAACATTTTGGATCTCCTGGATTAAATAAAAGATATCACTGGGATTAATTTCACCTGTTCTGTGGGGCACCCTGGCTGGCTCAGTCAGGAGGGTGAGAGACTCTTGAGCTCAGGGTTGTGAGTTTGAGCCTCACGTTGGGTGGAGACATTACTTAAAATAAATAAATAAACAACACTTTAAAATAATGTAATCTTTGATGAATCACTACATTCTAGACCTGAAACCAATTTTACCCTATATGTTAGCTAACTAGAATTTAAATAAAAATTTGAAAAGAAAAGAAAAATGAGCCTGTTCCATTTTCCTTTTTATCCTGTGGCTACTAGGAAATTTAAATTTACTTCTGTGGTTCACGTTTGTGGCTCACGTGATATTTCTACTGGGAAGCAATGCTCTGGAACATGAATACCCCGATGCCGTGGTGGTTTGTGAATCCCCAGAGCCCTCGGGGGCTGACAGGATTAAGTGGCAGTGAGAAAAGTTCTCTGGTTTGTGGCAAGTGGAGAAATGTTTGTGAAAATACCCAGCGGAGAGTCAGGGAGGAAGAACAGGCTGAGGTTTTCAACAACGAATCCTGAGGAGTTAGGTAGAGATCTTAGGGATGACTAATTTCATGCAGTTTTAGCACAAGCGAACTCCCCATGCTGGGCCTTCGTAAAGAGGGAGAACATCCAGAGACCCTCAGTCAGTCCTGTTTAGAAGTCTGCCGTCAGAAGATGTAGCCTGCATCCCGCGCTGTTCAATTGTGGCCTTTGATGGTGCGCTGTTTCCCTTGCCCCACAGGAGGATGCAGATGTGGAGTGGAAATTTGCCCGAGCCAAGCTCTGGCTGTCTTACTTTGATGAAGGAAGAACTCTTCCTGCTCCTTTCAATCTAGTGCCAAGTCCTAAATCATTTTATTATCTCATAATGAGAATCAAGATGTGCCTCATAAAACTCTGTAAATCCAAGGCCAAAAGCTGTGAAAATGACCTTGAAATGGGCATGCTGAATTCCAAATTCAGGGTAGGTGGCATGGGGTTTATGGGGCAAGAGAAGGCGGGGGATGGGGATGGGGAGGGGGACCGGGTGTGCTCGATTCAGACGGTGCCGCTGATACGAGGGAAGTCAGTGAGGGGCCCCCGCTTTTCAGAATCTGCGGGCACATCGGCAAAGCTGCAGCCCCAGCAGAGGCTGCCTGTGGTAGGTGCCCTTCTCCCCACAGCTCCTTGCAGAGGTGGCCTGCAGGCTGTGGGCTGAGCCATGCCCCCACCGAGGCAACCGCTTAGTGGCCCCCAAAGAGGAATGGCTCTTCCCAGAAGCTTTCTGGAGAATGATCTCCGGGAAGAAAGTTTCCCTGCCCATTACCTCCTCCTCCTGAAGATTCTCAAGGTTTAGTAGCATATGAAAATCTCTCAGGAGTCCTGGAAGAAAGACACCCCCTACTAACTTTAACTCAGTGCTTCCCAAAGTTGACCAAACTATATTCTATAACCTGTAGTCATCCTACAGAACTAAGGTCCCAAGAACAGTGTTCTAAGAAGCCTAGCAGCAGTGGGTATATATCAGCTTCATGGGGGTCCTCTTTTTAGGGACAGTCCCATATATGGGTGCTGTTCATAGATGGCTGTCATATGTTATATGAATGTGTGTGTGTGTGTAGTATTTATTATGGTTTTTTTTCCCCCCCCAGAAGACTCGCTACCAGGCTGGCATGAGGAATTCTGAAAACCTGACAGCAAATAACAGTTTCAGCAAGCCCACCCGATACCAGGTAACCACACCTTTCCCAGGTATGGGCAGAAGTGGACACTATCCAGACATGGATTTAGTAACAGGGCTGCGTCAGCCCCCCAGCACACAGCTTCATTTCTTCCTTCATTCAACAAATACGCACTGAGTGACAACAATGTAGCAGGCACTGCACTACTCACTGGGGATGGAGACGGGTCCCTGTCATAGGGGTACCTCCAGGCCAGTGAGGGACGGAGACAAAGTACAAGTAACACACAAGTAAGTACATAACCTCAAATTGATAAAAGGAGAAAGAAGAAAACAACAGGGTGCAAAAATGGGGAGTAAGAGAGAGCCCCTGCTTAGGTGTGGTTATCAGGGGAGGCATCTTTAAGGACAGGACAGTTAGTTAAGACCTCAAAGAAGGAGGCAGCCCTGTGGGGCCTCCCAGGCTTGGGAAAGGCATCCACAAAAGCCAGAGGGGAGAACCTGGGCAGGTCCAAAGCAGCTGGAGCTCAGCGGGCACGGGACAGTCATCCAGGTGCAAGGGAGTGAGATTTGGACTGGGGTGTGAGTAGGGGGATGGAGAAAAGCAGACAGATTCAGTATACATTCTGGACACACAGGCAATGGGACACGATGCTTCTCTGCAGGGACAGGGTACCCAGCACGACTCGGTGGACATGGGTGTCCCCGCGGAGCACCTGACCTAAGACCGCCAGCTTGCCAAAGTCTGTTCTTGTACATAAACCTTAGAAGACTTTTTATGCTTACAGCCCTTTGTGCTGCTTTTGGAAATTAATGCCCCTGCTCTGTATCTATCTGAATCAGCCCATGAGCCAGTGATAAAGGGCAACTATGGGTTATTGATTATAAAAGCACAGGCCATTCATTTCCTGCCTTCCCCTTCTCAATGATCAGCAGTTCTATCCATGCTGATCAGTTCTTTTTTTTTTTTTTAAAGATTTTATTTATTTGAGAGACAGACAGATAGTGAGTGAGAGCACGAGCAGAGAGGAGAGGGAGAAGCAGGCTTCCCGAGGAGCGGGGAGCCCCATGTGGGGCTGGATCCCAGGACCCTGGGATCATGACCTGAGCCGAAGGCAGACCCTTAACGACTGAGCCACCCAGGCGCCCCTATGCTGATCAGTTCTTATCAGAGGTAAACTTGAAGCCACCCTGAGCATGCGGGGGGTGGAGGTACGGTGCCCCTGGGGCCACCATCCCAGAGGGAGCAACGAGACTTAGCATCTTCCAGACGCAGGTCTCTAAATGTATCTCCACCCATATTTCAGAAGCCAGCTATGCAGGTAGGAGGATTTAAGTGCGCAATTAAGAAACATTTCATCCCTCAAAGTACTTAGAGTTTGATGAGATGACACAGGCTAAAAACTGGAAACGGGCAAATCTTGTATTTAATTGTGTGCAGAACTGGGCCCGACCAGTTTGATCTGCTTTGAGTTATGTTACAGCACAAATCCTTCGGTCAGTGGAAGGATTTTTATTTCTCAGCTTGTCAGAGAAAAATATAGATTATCTGTGTCACAAAAGAGATAGAAAGCCCTCAGGGGTTAGGGTCAAATCTCTGATGGGTTTCGAGAAGAATCAGCTGCCGAGATAAAGGAAGACTGATGATGTGGTGAATGTCCTCTACCCAGAATGAATCCTTTAGGAGCAAGACTGTTTTCAAAAGCAGCCTGGAGGTGATTCTGTTTCTGTCTTCCCTCATCACTGGCTGAGTCCCTGTGGCCATCAACATCCCCAAAAGCTTCCTGCTGTGATTACAGAGATTGGGTGGTACTGGGCTTCAGGCTGCTAATGACCTTGAGCAGCCTGCTCACCCTGTATTTTGTGAATCCACCAAGAAAAGCCTCCAGATATTTATTCAAACAGTTGTCACAGAAAAGAAGAAAGGAAAGCCCGGGGCCAGTAAGCATCAGAGGGAAAGGGTTGAGAGGGAGCAAAGAACTGGAGAGACCTCTGCATTTGCCCATGTGCCCTGTGCTTAGCCCTGCAAGGTGAAGTCTGCGCACCTTCCTGAGCCATCCCCTGCTCAGACAGCAGTAAAGCAATAGACGGCAGGAAGGACAGTGGGGTGCAGGCTAGACACTAGCCCAGATGTAATCTCACCCAAGGCCAGTGAGAGAGGCAGTAGCTTTAACCCCATTAAACAGAAGAGAAAACTGAGGCTCAGGGGTGAAGGCCCACAGCTGGTTGAACTATCTATCTGACTCACAAGGGTACCCCTCTTTTACTACATCACACTTCCTAGGCACCCAAGCCTTGCTGAGAACCTGTCCTGCCTGCCTGAGAACTGTCTGAGCCTGTGGAGCATGAGGGGAGGGGGCAAGGTATAGGAGGAGCTTCTGGAATGAAGGACTGGGGCAAGGGTCTGGCAAATCCTCTTCTGTTTTCTTGGGCCCACTGGTGGCCTTCCAAGTTGCACTACTTTCTTCCCAAAGCACCTTCCAAATGTGCAGAGATCAGAAGGAGCCTGGCACACTTCCTCTTTCTTAGGCTCCTGGCTGCACCCAGAGCCGTCACCTCCCCGAGGACATGTGGCAGAACCACAGGCCCTCACACTGTCAGGGCTCTGAGAAATTCTGTAGCATTCCCAGTAAGACAAAAGCCCCGTCGTTCATGGAGTTTTTAAGCTCGTTGCCTCTGTGTCTCTTCAGTAGATCAAACTTAGTGCTTGAGATGTTTATTTGAAGCTTGTCAATCCTTCGACTTCTGAGGGTTCTCTGGTGTAAGGGAAGGCCATTCCCTCAGACCAGAGGCTCTCTGTGCTTTGCTTTAACTTAGGCTTCCAGGGGTCTGAAGGCTATTTTTCACAAAACCGGTCCTTTACTTTTGTAATGTTGTTTTTTTGTTTTGTTTTGTTTTTCCAATCTGGGCTCATACGAAACCAAACAATGAAACAAAACCAAGATACTGGTGAGGGGGTCAGAGTACGCCTCCCGTCAGAACCACTCTGTGACCTCTTCCAAAATCCAGGGTGCCTGTCTGCTGGGGCGCGTGCAGACTCATCTGCTCCCACTCTGAGAGCTGCATTTCCTTCTCGAGCAAAGCAAACCAGCCGCATCCCAAATGCACCACAGAGTCCAGGCATGGTCGGTTCTTCACATGAGCCCCAGTGTTTGTGGTGCAATCCTTTCCCCAAACCCAGTGGGGAGTCCTCCTTTTCATGCTCTAGGTGGCCTTTTCTGTAGAGACCAAAGCAAACAGAATAGACAACTCGCCAATGCTGATTCCTTCTATTTCTGGTGTCTGATAAACCCTAGTTTAACCAATGGCATGTCTGGGATCCATTCTGTCCCCTTTCTTCCAAGTGTCCCTCGATTTCTGTTTTCCCGGGTGGCAACACTGTTTCCCTCTAGATTCTTTGTTGACCATCTTCAGCGTCCCATCTGTGTCCTCTTTGTTTACATCTTGAGCTACTCTGGCTGCACAGAGAGATGCCTCTCTTCCATAGAAAGTCTTTCTATGTCCTCCCAGCACCAGCAGCAGCCCTGGGAATGTGGGCAGGGAGAATTGTGAGGCTCCTTCCCTGGATCTCAGTGTCATGACCATTCAGATCCCTTGTGCCTCTCATCCTCATCCCCTTCCAGTGTTAGTTCTTTGGCCTGAGTTATGTCACCAGCTACACTCATCTCCAGCACCTGCTAAGGGCAGGAGGACAAGGTCGGAGGAATCAACACCAATGGGGACACATTCACTTGGGGACAGTTTATTATCTTCTTGAAGTGAAAGAACTCTATGAAAGATAGCAAGGAGACATCTCAAACCCATCACAAAGGACCATTCTTTTACCCCAAACACAGTGAAGGAGGGGAGACTTTTGGTGTCCATCTTTTCTGAAAACAGATATCCCCTCTAGCATCTGTGTGAAAGAGAACTTTGGGTAGTTCTAACCACTTCCACATTTCTGGGGACAAGACTGGCATCTTCTCTGACATACCCCAGGTTGTCTAACACGTACGCACCACAGGGGGAACCCAGCGCCCATCAGGACACAAAGTCTCTAAGCAGATGCTAGGCGGTCACACTGCTCTCCTTTAAGGCATCTGTCACTCCTGGGAGTGAAGTGGGGGTGGGAGGAAGAGTAAAGGGTTCCTGCTTGTCTGCAGTGCTCATGAGATTCTGCTTCCATATTAAGCCTCAGTAATCCTGACACATGATGAGGGGCTTCATTTCAGACGTTTGTTTCTCTCCCCTTGGAGCCACAGATGTGCAAGCCTTAGCTCAGATGAGGCATGCCAGCCCTCAAGAAGGGCCCATGAGCACTCATGAAGATGACATACCGGTGACCCTCTTCCCCAAGGGTAACAGTTTTTTTTTTTACTGAAATATCCCAAGGGGTAACAACTGAACAAAGCCATCCATCCTCCGAAATCTAACTGAGGCTTCCTCCTGCATAGAAAACCTTTTTAAAGGACAAGTAGGTAGCTGCGGTTTCCTGCATCTCATCCCCTAAAGCATCTTGCACATAACCTTTTCCTGAAGGTTGGAAGAAGCCCCAGCTTCGGTTTCCATTTTGATTACATCTCAGATCTGCCACTCCCAGGCTGTGTGACCTTGAAGTCACCTCGCTCTATGAGCGTTGGTGTCCTCATCTATGAATGGAGACAACTTTCCCAAGCTCACCAGGTTTCTGGGAGGATTCAGTGAGGTTATTCTGTCAAGGAGGCTAACGGGACTCCTGGTCTGCCGGAAATACTCAATATGTGTGTTTCTTTGTTTCTTTTTCACCCTTTCTCCCCTCCTCGCAGAGGCCCATCCACACTGAAGGGGGCTTGTGAGTGGGGTCTCACCTATTCAAAACAAATGGAGTTTGGCGGGCACACTGTGTATTAATAATAAACACACAGGGGAATCTTTTAAAATAACGGGTTGAGCTGTGTTGCACTACCAACAGAGGGAGAGACCGTGATCACTGCCACACCTGTAGAAGGTCTCGACTCCGCACCATCGCGGAAAATTGAACTCTCCACTTTCCACCTCCAGCTTATACTTTTACCCCACACATATAAAGGTTCTTAAACTGATGAATCCAGAAACTAAGGAACCCTTGATTCTTGAGGTTTTCCTTAAAACGGCAGCAAACTTTAACTAGATCCCCTTGACTGGCTTCAGCCTGAAAATTTGCAGAATACTTCTGAATTCTATATTCAGGAAGAATTTCAGATACCTGGGTGTCTGGGTTTTGGGGTTTTGCGCTTTTTTCCCTGAGAACTGGCTCGGGACAACGTTGGTTTTGTGTGGGTTTTGCAGTTCAAAGTGAAAAGAGCATTACTGAGTCCCGTGAAAGGCATCTATTCATACAACTTGGGTAACCTGCCTTAGGGACTAGGGAGAATGTCAAGAAGAAATCTAGCAGTCAGTTTAACCACTAACATGGCAAGACCCAGGCCTCTCTGACAGAGGGCAGCACGAAGACAACTTGCTCACTCATGGTTCGGCCGAAATAAGATCACAACTCAAAGCACAGAGCCGAGGAGACCAGCAGCCCGAGGGCTGAGGGGGGCAGCAGCGGCCTAGAGGTGACGCAGGGCTCACCCCAGACAGCCTTTGCCAGGTTCCATTAGAGTCCTGGAGTCACACAGCCTGGAGACACCAGGCTGAGGTCTTCGCCATCAAAGGCACTGAGAGAACCTGCAGCTGATGACAAGAATGTGCTAAATCCTTCTCTTTGCCACCCAGCCATCCACTCCCCTTGGCTTACAAAAAGCTTTTCCTGAGCCCACATAGTTGGAGAGAACTCAGTAACCTGCCTGACCACACACGGCACGGCCAGGGACAGAATTCAGGTCCCTCCCGTCTAGAAAATGCTGCCTCGGTCCCCTGAGTCCCCGGCTGTGAGCAGGTGACAGGAAGGGATGAGCAAGGAGCAGGGAATCCCTCCCTCTCTGCCAGTTGCTCAGCCCTTGCAAGATTCAGAAGTCTCAGCTATCCGAGTATTGCTAAATCCTGTGACTGCCCAGGAATCCACCAACGACCAGCTGGCAAAACCCAAAGTTCACCTCCTGCCGTCTTTCTCACACTTGGCTCTATTCTTGGTGTCTCTGAAGTGTTTACTCCTACCTCCTCATTTGCTTAAAGAACCCATATCTGCGTAATACACGGAAGCTACAGGCCAACCCCTTCCCCTCCAGCACGACCCGCAGGCCGGCGTCAGGCATGCGGGCTCTCAGGGGAGTGGGGTGCTGGCAAAACCTCCCGAGGCCCGGCTCTATCTGTTTCCGCCCCTGGCAGGAATTTTCCAAGGTACAGTGGACTTGTCCAGCCTGGTCCTGACGTGGTGCTAAGCCCCGAGGAGAGGACATGACTGGCTAAGGTCACAAAGAAGGTCAGGGTGGAGTCGGGCATAGGACCTCCCAGTAGCACTAAGTGATGCTCTGTCGCTCTCCCTGGCTTGGCCTCCCACCCTTGAGTGTCCTGCTTTCACGTCCCCGGGGCAGGGTCATCCTAGGCAAGAGGTTAAACAGACACAGGCCCACGTTCCCCCAACAGGCGAGGCACCCTGAGAAGAGAGGCACCGAGCATGGGGGCTCTCCCAGCCGCTGACTGGGCTCTCTGTGGGGGAGAGGGGGGCATACATATACCATGCGGGCTGCTTCTGTCCTCGGCCAGGCTTGTCTGACCCCTTCCTTGTGCTCCCATTTCAGAAAATCATGAAGCGGCTCATAAAAAGATACGTCCTGAAGGCCCAGGTGGATAGAGAAAGTGACGAGGTCAACGAAGGTAAGTGATGGGTTCTTTTCCTGCAGGTCGGCAGTAGGGCAAGGTCTCACCCAGCTAAAATCGAGGTGGTGTGGACAGGACTGCGTTCCTGTCTGGAGGCCCCGGGGGCGCTCGCTTTCCCTGCTGGCTCAGGTGTGGGCAGAAAGAGGTGCCATGTGGCTGTGGGGTGATGGCCTCTGTCCCCTCGCTGGCTGTAGGCTGGGGCTACCACCCCACCCCCCTCCGGCTGCCTACAGCCGCCTCATCCCAGAACCAGGCCCCCAGCCCCGAGCCTTCCTCCAGCGGCCACATTCCTTCCTGTTCTGTCCTCATGTCTCTCTGACCCCCTCATGCCTTCCTCTTCCGCTTGTAAAGACTCACGATTAGACTGGATAACCCAAAATCATCTCCCTATCCAAAGCTGGCTGATGAGCAACCTTAATTCCATTTGTGACCCTCGTTCCCTATTGCCATGTAAAGTGACCATACTCAGATGGGACACCAGGGATTAGGACCTGGTCATCTCTTTGGGGGCAGGGGGCTGGTAATAATCCTGCCTAGTGCAGCGATGGTTGCCTCGATTCCCCATCACGTCCCATGGGTGCAGGACAGCCTGGAATTCCTCATCCCAAGGGCGCACATGCAGAGAGCCGTAAGCAGACGGGACACCTCTTTCAGATCCTGCCACCACCCTGTCTCACTTCCAGGCCCTGAGAACCTGACAGCCCACCGTGTTTCTCGGAGTATTCCCCCAGCTCAGAATTACGTGTTAAAAACGCCCGTCCCGGACCGCACCCAGGCCTAAGGAATCGGCATCTGCGGGGTGGCCTGGCGGGCTGTGCATTTTGGTAAAAGCCCCAGGTCATTCTGATGCACACTGAAGTTTGCAGGCTACATGGTTTTCACTGCTTGGGTGATTTTCCAGTCCATAAGCAGTTACTCTTAAGTGAAAAGCAAATTACCTTACACCAGGTCATTAATCTTCATGAGACACACAGGACAAATATTTGCTACCTCGAAACAGCCTCCTCTATGAATGAAGGCACTCAGTGTCCCCCTCGCTCGGGCCACGGGCCTACTGGAAGAGCCCGGTCCCTTAGTGACCCTCTGTTTCCTTCTGGAGCCTCCAGCAGGCAGCCTGAAGATCCCCAGTGGCCAGACTCACTCCTGGGCTGACGCTGCCCAGGGGCTGAGCAGCAGCTGTTCAGACACCCCTGAGGCTGGGTCTGGAACGCACCACCAGCCACCTCGAGCAGTGCGTCCTTGCGATCGACAGGAACATGACTGATAACCGACGGTGGGGTTGCCAGGTTTCATGCCACTAGAATTATACCATGCAACTGGCGCTCAGGAAAGCACCCCATGAAAAGGAAACAGGGGATGTATGCGTTTGTCAAAACTGGCCAACCTCTACCCTTAAGATCTCTGCATTTTCTGTCCCCAACACATACGGAGAAAAGAGATAGGAATAACGTGCTCCCGGGCACCGGACTCCCATTTGAGGCAAGTCCAGTATCTATAATATCAGAAAAGAATGTTTTTGAGTCCTCTTTGTAGTTCATTAAAAGATTTGCCCAGCCCAGGCCCAGGTGGATTTCGACCGACGTGGTTCACTGTGGAAACCAGGGCAAGT